AAAGTGACATCTTTTCAAACTCCATTTTGTTTAGTTCCGCCAAATGTTTTCTCATTTAGGTCACAAGCATTTTTGCTTGTTCAAATGTCTGCTTAGGCATATATAATAGCTTTCAATCTCCAGTCACACTAAAGGTTCCATGATAACCGTCGTATGGACACATCTGGGGATTTTTAAAAAAATAAAATCTCAGCATTAACATGTTAAATGTTGAATTCTAAAAAGGGGACGTAGACATCAGTTTGTACTTTCTAGTACTGTCTATGAACAGGCTCTATCAAACTGAGCCTGCAACATCTTCAGTTTTGCTAGTTTGGAGTGTTTTGTAGGAAATTCTTTTACCCGTGTGTCACATTATCATGCCGCTTTATTATTACAGAACAGAAATATTAGTTTCACGATGACCTCCGCAGGTGTGTGTTTTACAATCCATATTTAAAAAAATAAAGGTTTAACTTCCTTGCTCTATTTTACCACGATATTGAACGACCGCTATTTTAACATAAATGCTTTACATTCTATTTTAGTTGTTATAAATGCTTTTTTTCATCTTTTAATGACATGGCCGATATTAGATGTTTTTAGATATTTTAGTTTAAAGCCCTTTATCAGTAAAGTGATCTTCACTTCTGATTGCTCAAGGCGGTTTTTAAGTACTTAAAGAACACTTACAAAGCAAACAGTAATGAAAATAATTCATGCCTTCATATACATTAAATGTTTGGAATGTGAAACTAATCCACCTAAATTATATACTACTGAAAGCGTGATAATAATATAAAATATTTCTTTACCAATAAAGCCAAAACCTAACTTGAGTACATTATCTAACGACACAGTGCGCATAGGGTTTGTCAAGATTACTGAGTATTTATAAAAAAACTTCTCAATATCATTTTTAACCATTTCTTATAGAACATTGTTGATTTACCTTTTTTCTAATTAATGAAATTATTATTACTAAGAAAATTACTTGCTTTGGAAACTATAGCTGCTTACTTGTTTTACATATCTTGAAAGCACCCCAACATAAGGAATGTTGCCGAACTTTTGTAAACGTTAATAGCTCTTTTCATATATTTATAGCGGATACGTGTTTGGATCAATATCTGAATTGTTACCATTGCATGACATTAAAGAAACACGTAGCAAGGTGACACGAGATAAGCAAAGTGAATGTGTAACTATGTATCCATTTACATATACGTGTATGGTGTTTGTTTTATTCCAGTGAGGTAAACGTATGAAACATGTCATTGCCAGCTAAAAACATATGTAGATGATAACATACGATAGACAAAATTAATCTCATTTGTAGCAAAAAGTCATCAACTGGCGTATCAAAACTAGAGTTAAAAAACCGTTCTACCGGCACTTGATAATTACACATTATACAGTAGTTAACAAATGTAATTACATTATCGAGGTTGGTGAATGACATACCAGTTTATGATAAGTACTGTAATTGGGAGCCTATAATTTTGCAAAAAAAAATATCAGAACTTAGCCAAAGTCGGCGATAGTATGACATAATGACACAAATTCTATCAGGATGTTTTATTTCTTTAAATCCCTCGTGGTGTAACGTAAAGTCATTTTTGAACCAACCTTTATCTATTCACATTCATGTCATGAAGATCTTATTGAGTCTTTTAGTGGTTTCTTTCAAAATCAATCATAGTATTAAATGGTAATGTGATAAAAGTGTTTTTTTCATTAATTTTGTAAATCGTAGGTAAGAAAGTAGTTTGATTTCGTTTTAGGTTGTATTTTCATGATATATTAATGATATAAGAACTGTTCTAATATTTATATCAGTATTTGTTTTGTTAAGTATAGGACAATCGAGAATTTATAAGATAACCGAGAATGTATATGTGATTCTATACATGTATGTTACATGTGGGATCATTGTCATTATCTTCTTAAAATTTGCTAATTTGTTTGTCAATGATATGATTATATGACCAAAATAAAAAATTAAATTTAATTATTAAAAATATTTTATAAGACATGTAGCTCTTCTCAGTAAACAAGCAATGCATTTCATGGAATTGTATATTAAATAGTAAAAATAAGGTGATTTCCGGATTTAATGTATTGTGTCATTATTTATACTATCAAAGTTAGAATCGTTTAATTTTGAAGGCATATTAAATACTTGAAAAGACACATGTGTTGAATTGTTTTCATTGATAATTTACACCTCTGTATAATTTTGTTTTTAATATTTGACCACTATTTTAAAAATTGTACTGGTTTTGATGCAGTAACTGTTTTAAAATGCAGAAACGTTAAAGACCCTGTAACACAATTTTTTATGGTTTTAAATCATAAATATGATGCTCAAATTAGGATTTATAAATATTGTATGTTCCAAAAAGCATTCTTGATAAAGATATTACCGAATTTAACATTTTATGTAAATAAAGGGAGATAATACAAATTTATTTAATATAAAGTTTAAGTCAAATTTTACAATAAGAAATGAATTCACATATTTTAATGATTACATATAATATGCACACATATTTGCAGTACATATTTTACTTTCTTCGATGTTTTAAAATTGTTTTATTTTGCATAATTATGTACATATATATAATTTCACTTAGTGTGGTTTACCACTTTGATCAAGACATACAGGAAATTTAATATATTGATTTAGCTTCATTTGCGAAATCAAGCTCGATCTAATGATACATTTTGATGTAATAACAAGTAAAAACTCTCTTGCCAAGTGAAATTCCGTATGTTTAAAACCCAAACTGTTATAGCAAAAGTTTAGTTGATAAATGTTTTTTTATGTTTTTTAAAACTTGTATAGACGAGTAATATAATTATGAGGATGTTTATGATTTTAGTCTTACTAGACTTCCTATATATGAAGTCAGGTTTTTGTTACTGGAAAAGATTATCATATTTTAGACTGTGAAAAGCAGAGTCTATTTTAAGCATTTAATGCATTTAATCAAGATAAAACATAGTGTAAAATCAATTATCATTTGTTATTTAAAGTCACTATGAAACATTTTTACGTCTAAATTGAAAACAAAAATAAAGATAAGTTAACGAACACGTGTTGTAGATTCAAAAAAAGTATTTCTACTCAATATGCCATGATTTACGCATGCTCAGTTATGACAAGATTTAGTATCATACTCACAGGCTGAATTGTACCTATTTAAAATATAATCAGATTCATATTGAATGACAATACAGCTTAAACTATTTAAAACTGGTGCATTTTGTTTTTTTATGGAATATTAATCGGTTCAAAATCTATTTACGGTAAAATAAACATCATTAACACAATGATACGAACATTGATAGCTTGTTTGTTTGTTGTTGTTTTTTTGTTGTTGTTGTTGTTGTTGTTTTTGTTTGTTTTTTTTAATATAATTAAGATTTATTTTTTAAGTATTAGGCAGATTATATTTCAAAGACAAATGACCGATTAAATAAGATGTGCTTTTCTCCTACAAAATGTCATATTGACCGAGGCTATCCATTGAATATGATGTGATATTCACCGGCAAAATGTCGTATTGACCGAGGCTTTCGCCGAGGTCAATATGAAATTAAATATGCAATGGCTTACCAATCAATAATTGCATTATTATAACACACATTCTTTTAAACTTACAGTTTTATTCATTTATAACACAGTCTTCTTGCTAATTGGTATTTTATGAGCTGATAACCGAGGCAACAATGATGCATTAATAAGGATCTAATCATAATTTCTTCTGTTTCAAGAAAGACTTACAGTAATGATAAGAAGTATAACTTAAATTTGATAACTTTTTGAAAAAGAAAAGGTTTGACATCAGATACGCAACCGTTTGTTCAATTATATTATAACAGTCAAGTTGACCAATATATGCCATATCCATTTAACAAAACTTTAACTATGCAGATGATAAATTAAAACTTTGCATTTTCATTTTTTTATGGACAAAGGTTTAATGCTTGCCTTGGATATCGTTTTACGAGTTCTCATTTATGGAGGAACGATGAACGCTTTCATATTGATAAACGTTTCATTAAGAGTGTAGATAATTTGCTATTGGCATTACATACAAACGCATACACATTATAAACCCTATCCGTGTCGGTTAATGTATTCATGATTCATACCGTCGGTAAAATATGAATTGTGACTCTCATGAACTATGACCCTATTTGTTAAAATGGTTTGATGAAGGTAGCAAAGCATGGGATTTAGCTTACAATATTACTTTATTATGAAAATGTACTTTATTGAATAATATTGTGATTCAGAAAGTGAGTTATCAACATTACATTCTCTGAAAATGTACGATATCTTTGAGTAAAAAAAGGTGTTGCTTATAAATATGGATGGTGCGTGCGTGTATGTGTGTGTTTCTCTATCTTTGACCGGATTGTTTCCTGAATAAATCACTCACGACATGAACACCTAGTTATTACGTTTTTGGTACAACGGAGGCATATAAACAGGCTAAATCAATCCGATATTGCAAATGTTTATCTTTTGCAGGTTTATTTGTGTTATTTATTGATTCATTTTTTATCAACTACAATGTTTTTACCATCCATACTTAAAAGATTAAACGAAAAAGAAGATCAATATATGGATAATAAATCACTTTCAAACGTTGTATGTGCTGGGCGATTAAAATAGGTCTTCTGAGATACTCTGATAATGAAAGTTTTTTGACATAATAAGTATAATAAGTAAACAAGCCTTTAGGTCTGAATTATAAATAACTTCAATAACTACAGTTGTGTAACAGATATCATTTGCATCTAGCTTTAAGACTGCATTATGAAAACAACTGGTAGAATACATTTTGTGTTGGGATAAATCCTTACCTGAAATATAAAAAAATCATCCACGTGTTTTAAAAAGCCTGAATGAAATGAATATATTTGTTTTAGTAGAAACAAACCTTAACACAAATTTTGTTTTGACACTGCTTGACAAACATAGAAGGCATGTTTTTCTTTTCCAGATCGATATTAGGCATGACTTATAGATTATTTACAACTATTTTTATACTATAAATATTTAAATGCGTCATAATTATCCGTCGAACGATGTGTTATATAAATAAAAATTAACATTCACATGCTACAGATTATTAAGAAACGCATATTATTTTGTTTTTCTTTAACACGTTTCGAGAAAGGTGGATTACAGTGAATGAATTGTTAAATAAAAGTGACAACAAATTAAACCATTAAAATGTTAAGTCAATCAGATGATTCAAGATGGGGGTGAACAAAAGCGGAAAAATATATACTTTTTTCTAATACCATGTTTGTGTCACTTAATAGGTAAGTTTAGTTTCTTAACTATGCTATATCGAAAACATTAAATCATTTACAAAATATGTTACTTAATTTCAGTATAGAATTTGTATTCCTTTAATTTCCGTAGGCAGATATGTGATAAGTGTCTTATCTTAAAAGCAATGACGGATATCAAAAACCTGTTAATATACTCTTACATAGATAAATGAATATATTCACAAATCAAATGCTGCAATAATGCATACAATTTAGATAATAATAGACACTCCATCTGAAACATTTTATATATCTGGATAGCCCATTTGAAAGTGCCTTTTCTTTTTTTCAGTATTTTAAATTATACATTTCTTTTTAAACGCTTTGGTTTGTAAAATATTATTAAACTGATATTTTTATTAAATTCAGCTTATTCACACATTCCTATTTTAGGTGTTTTAGAAGCGAATGTTTCGTTAACAGCATATGGCGACATTGCTTTAGATGGACTTCTTAAATGTTCCGGGCAATGTGTTTTCGGCTGTAAAATCAAACCAAACTCACTTGCTTTTACATGGGAAATAAACAAACAAATTGTTTTTGAATGTATCAACAATATATGCAACACACTTGGGACAAATTACAAATTTTCATTTGATAGTACTCATGGCATATTTAACATATCAATGGACAAGATAGTATATGCTGACAATTTGAAGCAGTTTAAGTGTGATGATGGCTATGAGTCAGCATCTTTTACTGCAAGAATTAAAGGTAAAGTACAAGTAATTTTAATAATTTCTTGCTTGTTGTACATGTGTAATCATTATAAGTTGATGAAAAGTAGATAAAACTCTTCTTCATTGTAATTTCTTGAAAATTTAATAAAAGGAAAAATCAGAAATGTTTTAATTTTTGAATCTTGATTACAAAGATCACGGCAGAATTCATGAACGCAGCCCCTGACATGCAGCAAAATCGAAACCATTTTGAACAGAGAAAAACATAGGACAAAGTAAAGGGCAAACTGAAACAGTAAGGGCGCGACGTCGATACAAGTAAAAACGAAATTAAAGAAACAGTCGAGCCAGGGAGGGACAATTTCAAAAGAAAAACCAAGGGTAAACCTACATCAGAGGACTGAATACTCATCTTAAGATAACAATTTTGAAGAGTATCGTATTTACTGCCTTGAGTCGATCCACAAATACACCATTTCTTGTGTAATTATACCCTGCAGTACTTCCACTTATAAAATAAGTTGACAGATGTAGTATGTAGCATTTGATATAACACAACGATTGGTATCATTTTATTTAATTAATTATAATTTCTAATTTGGTAGTGATACCAGAAGCTAGCGCTACAACAATTACGTCGTCAAGTGATTCATCGTCAACTACTTCTATTAAAGTAACGACAGGTTGCCTTTCGCCTAGTACAAGTGTCTCTTTTACATGGTACTATTTTAAGGTAAATACAAGTAAATATGTTTTCGATATTAAATAAGGTATTAGATAAACAAGTCGTTAGTTTTCTTGTATTGTTTCCAAATATTGTTTAGAACTATACCCCTTTACAGTTAATTATAGATGCAACTCAATAAGGTATAGGTCTTGTTTGAAACATGTTCAGATGTTTTTCTTCTTTTTTTTCAAGAAACATCAGAACTAAAGAGGATTGTCTCAAAAGAATCAGCAAATTTCTGTCAACGTATATTTTTTAAAATAAATATGAACACTTAGATTATTTTTTTTATATTTTCATTTCACATATGCTTAGGAAGGACAGATACCAGTTTTATTTGAGGAAATGATACCATTAGAATCAACTGACGAATATGGCTGTATAAATGGACATTGTGGAGGAAAAGGGGTTGTCAAGGTTACCAGTAGATTGACTATTGACGAAGATTCCGATGGAGAATATTATCAGTTTTAAGTTTTGGTCAATCAGACTGATGCAGCAGAGTTATATATTAAAACAGATCGTAGATTTAAACTAAAAGGTATGAAAATATGGTTTTTACCAGAATGACAGATGCTTTTGGCTATACAACTTAAATGCTATCCATAAACATTAACTCATAAGTGTCGACGTTCTACATGTTTCTTTCTCTGTACAAATACATTATTAGGTAAATATTACATGCTTCATTGCACACATTGTTGCCAACATATCTTAACATAGCCAGTCTTTTCCTTTTATAATCAAATTAAAGTCAAGTAATGTTTTTCAGATAAGGAGAACAATAAAATTACAACTCATTCCACAAACGTTTTTCGGGACGGAAGTAAAAGAGTACAGACCGAAACAAGTTGGTTAATGCTGGTCACATACCGCTGGATAATATTACAATAGTGCTTCGTGTAGTCGGAAACGTCGCCATCAAAGCGTCCGGAACACGGTGCTTTTATAAATATTAATTTTAAACGTATGTATATATGTTTTTATCTATTTGAAAAGACTCCTCCAAAAAGTAAAACTTTTTGAGGGAAAAATGAAACATATTTTGTCAATAAAAATTCAAACGTATTTTTTACAGTTGAACTAATCTTGAAAAAGACACACGTTGTTGGCGGGATAGAAACATGCGCATGAAATATATTTCCGTGGCTATGTGACCTGAAAAAAGTGCTATTCGTTGGTACACATGTGACACTTTTATGGGATAATGTTTTTTTATAAAAGATAATAGAATGCTAGTGGTAGCATTGAAGAGATTTGTTGTTTGTTACGTCATGTAAAGATGTGGTTCATGACAATTTATGTTTTGCTTTAGATTTTTCACTTACTAGTCCTCCCATTCGTTTCATAATTTAACTGTTTATTTTTGATAATTGTGTAAAGGTGGATAAGTCCGTCATTTCACTGAACATTTTCTAAAGTCTCCTTAATCTCTAGTTTGAGCTCACTGAAAAAGGCGGACTAGTCCTCCTTCACGTTTTATACTTGAGTTTTTTTTATTGTTGTATACAGGTGGATTAGTCCGTCATTTCAGTTAATGATTTAAAAGACTCCTTGATCTTTATTTCGAGTTTCACTGAAAAAGGCGGACTAATCCCCCTTCATGGTTTTAATTTTATTATTGTTTAAAGTTGGATTAGTCCATTATTTCAGTTAATGATTTCTAAAGACTCTAATCTTTATTTTGAGTTTCAGTGAAAAAGGCGGACTAATCCTCCTTCGTCTTTTACAATTGAGTTTCTGTTTCTTTTGATTATTGTATAAAAGTCAACTAGTCCGTCATTTCAGTTAATGATTTGTAAAGACTCCTTGATCTTTATTTTGAGTTTCACTGAAAAAAGGCGGACTAATCCTTCTTCACGTTTTATAATTGAGTTTTTTTTGTTGATTATTTTATAAAGTTGGATTAGTCTGTCATTTCAGTTTATGGTTTCTAAAGACTCCTTGATCTTTATTTTGAGTTTAATTGGAGAAGGCGGACTAGTTCTCCTTGAGAGTTTTAGTTTGATTATTGTTTCAAGTTGGATTAGTCCGTCATTTCAGTTCATGATTTCTTAAGACTCTTTGATCTTTAGTTTGAGTTTCACTGAAAAAGGTGGACTTATCCTCCTTAATATTTTACATTTGAGTTTTTTTATTATTATTATTGTATAAAAGTGAATTAGTCCGTCATTTCAGTTAATTATTTCTAATGACTTCTTGATCTTTATTTTGAGTTTAATTGGAGAAGGCGGACTAATCTTCTTTCGTGTTTTATAATTGAGTTTTTTACTTTGATTATTTTTTAAAGTCGATTAGTCCGTCATTTCAGTCACTGATTTCTAAAGACACTTGATCTTTATTTTGAGTTTCACTGATAAAGGCGGACTAATCCTCCTTCATGTTTCCTTATTGAGTTTTTTGTTTTGATCATGGTATAAAGGTGGATTAGTCCGTCATTTCAGTGAACGTTTTCTTAAGATTATTTTATAAATATCATTTCTTTGGTTTAAGTTACATTGAATGGGGCGGACTAATCCTCCTTCAATTTTATAATTGAGTTTGTTTAGTTTGATTATTGTATTAGGTTGGATTAGTCCGCCATTTCAGTTAATGATTTCTAAAGACTCCTTGATTTTATTTTGAGTTTAATTGAAAAAAAAGCGGACTAATCCTCCTTCATGTTTTATAATTGAGTTGTTTAGTTTTGGTTATTGAGTTTAATTGAAGAAGGCGGACTAATCCTCCTAGACTTTTTTAGTTTGATTATTGTATAAAGTTGAATTTGTCCGTCCTTTCAATTAATGATTTCTTAAGACTCTTGATCTTTATTTTGAGTTTCACCGAAAAAGGCGGACTTATTCTCCTTCATGTTTTATAATTGAGTTGTTAAGTTTTGGTTATTGGTTATTTTACTCCGTCATTTCAGTTTACGTTTTGTAAAAACGTCTAGAAAAATGCAAAGTATTTGATTTTACTGAGATTGAAAAAGGCGGACTAGTCCTCCTTTTTGTTTTTATAGTTTTTAGTTTTGATAATTGTATATATATAAATGCGTTAACATTTTCTAAAGATTATTTGAAAAATATTACGTCTTTGGTTGAGGTTACATTGAATAAGGCAGACTTGTTCTCCTTCATGTGTTATAATTGAACATTTTAGTTTTGACTATTGTATAAAGGTGGATTAGTCCGTCATTTGAATTACTTTTTTCTAAAGACTCCTTAAAAAATACATAGTCTTTGGTTTAAAATACATTGAAAAAGGCGGATAAGTCGTCCTCTGTTTTATTTTGCTATAAGATCTTTGATAAAATACATGTTTTGCAACTTAGGGTGGATTAATCCACCTTTTACTAGTTTGGAATTATTTGTAATAAAATTTAAACTTGATCTTATGTGTTTTCCTTTTTATAACATCAACAATCCAAGTCCTTATTTTAAAATTTTGTTGCAATTTTGATTATTTCGAAAACAGTCCTCCTTAATTTAGTGAAAAAGATGACTCTAAAATCGCTTATACTGCCCAAATTAGGGAAATTTAATTTTGAGCAAATTTTGATTATGCTATTTTGAAATTACCCCTGTATGAATAACTTTTAAGGTTGCCGAATTTCGGTTAGGTTGCCGAACTTCAGTTAATGTTTGCAAAATTGCATTCTCGTGTTTTCCTGAAACATGACCGATTTAATAATTTCTAGATCAATATTTACACTAACTTTCATCATTAATTTTAAAACCCCTCAGTTAAACTGGGGGACGATTTACCTGCCCTAGTTTTTAAAAAACTATGCCTTTTAGTTTAGGTATGTTTTAACGTTTGTTGACTCATGTATACGTTTCCCACTTCTTAAAGCGACCGATTAAAAAAGGAAGTGAAGAAAATTTAATATCTTATGTTTACAAGCTACAATGTCGTGTAAATTACAAACAGCAAGGCGTATTTAATCCGCTGCAAGCTTTCATTGCAGAATAAACGTTGTTGACGTCGTAAAATAATTAGAGGATATTCAAGTATTTTCTATCAATACAGGATTTATTTTCATCGAGTGGTATGAAAATAAAAATTTCACGAGTGGCAGTAGTAATCTTGTATGTTTTATTTTCTGTTTATTACATGTAATAAAAAACTATATTATTTTTTCTCTTTTTTTTTACCTCATGAGTAGAAAGAATTGATTTTAAATTTTGTGTATTGGCTGAATTTATATGAAAGTAATCCGGCAAGGCACCAATGAAAGTACGGAAAATATGCATCACTGCAGTAAAAATTATATTTTAGAGAGAAACATACGGAAAATTAAAATACGCAATTTATGTCGTCAATATTTCTCAATGTTTTATTTATAAGCATATAATCAGTATAAATATCACCATTATTATTGGTTAAAATCAAGTCATCTCCAGAGTGTTCATTGTCTCTGAACTACAACTGATGTGGATATTATGAACGGAAACTGAAAATTACTTCAAAGGACAATAACTCTGTCAAAGATCATTAATCCTTGACTAAATTCAAACTTGACCTTATCTTTTCTATGAATAATCCATGGCAAATTTTATTTGAATGTGTGCAACTGTTGTCAAGAGAATGAACGGAAACTGACGATGATGGAATGAGAGAATGAAGGAATGACGGAACGCGTTGACACTATATACCCCAGTTATAAAATGATTTAGATAAACTCTGTCATGAGAATTAAAAAAAAGACGGTTTTTTTTTGAATACAGTTCATATATAAGAAAATGGTCAATTGGTGGGTAGGAAAGCATCTTGGTGTAAAATGTGCGAAGGCATCACGCTACAAGGTAATATCAAAGAAAAATGCAATAAATAAAAAAAGACATTTTATGGTATCTTTGACAAACAGCCTAAATCCATTAACATAAAGGAAGGTGTACCAACTTGTTGTCCTCCTAAAAACCCTATATGGGTGTGAGTTATGGAGCGGCGTTACAGAAAACCAGCTTCTACATGTACCGCTAGAGCGAGCACACAGACAATGTATCAGAACGATGCAACCTGGCTCAGGTCAGGCAAAAATAAAACGTAATTTAACATTTTGTCATAATTGTTTTGAACTTTATTTTAAATAAGAAATAGCATGATCCCCGTAACCATCAGAATCCATAACTGTTCAAAACAACGAGAAAACGTAATGCAAGTACAACATACTTTCTTCGGTTACTTCATATTTTATTTTACCATGAATGCAACAACGAGGCTCATTTCCTTATAAAAGATAGTTTGGCTTTTCATGCATGATGCATTATAACTTAGAGTCTATAATTTTGCACAACAAAAAATAAAACTCAGCCAAAGTCGGCGATAGTATGACATAATGACACAAATTCTATCAGGATGTTTTATTTCTTTAGATCCCTCGTGGTTTAACGTAGTCATTTTTGAAACAACCTTTAACCATCCACAGTCAAGTACTGCAGATCTTATTGAGTCTTTCAGTGGTTTCTTTCAAAATCAATCATAGTATTAAATGGTAATGTATAAAATAACAAGTGGTTTTTTTTTTGTTTTTTTTTTTGTTGTTGTTGTTTTTTTTAATTAATTTTGAAAATCGTAGCTAGGATAGTATTTTGATTTCGTTGCTGGTTGTCTTTCAATATATAATAATGACATAAGAACTGTTTATAATATTAATATCAGTATTTGTTCCTATCCTAATATGACAATCGAAACTTTATTAGATAACCGAAAATGCACTTCTATACATGTATGTTATATGTGGGACCATTAGCATTATCTTCGTACAATAAGCTAATTTGTTTACAAAATTTCATTTTAATGATATGATTATACACAACTAACGTAAAGATTACATTTGATTCTATCAAATAAGTTTTTAAGACCAATACCCTCTTCTGTGTAAAACAAACAATGCATTTCATAGCAATATTAAATAGTAAAAATAAGGTGATTTCCGTATTTAATGTATTGTGTA